TTTTTTCGATGGAAACCATATGTTAGAAATGACCTACTTTCTTGTAGTGAACTAAAACTTGTTTATTGCTAAACTTAGTGATGGATTACTAATAGAATGACATTCTATCACTAAATAGAGATTGATTTTTCCATAGCCAAATTTCTGTCTGTGAAATCCTATTTTCTTATAGTGTATTGTTAGTCTTCACTAGTCCTTCTTTTACTATCTTTTGTTGATCGTTGTCCTATGCCAACCATACTGCTTTTCTACCAAAAAAAAAAAAAAAAAGTCTACCATTGATGCTACCTGAATCTCCTATCTTTACCAATGCCACCCTTACTATCCAAATTTATTATATAGAAACCCAAATTTCCTTCCTTGACCTAGATAATACTACCCTAGTTGTCTCGATCTGATATGTGAAAGTTAAAAGAGACAAAAAAAGGTAGAAGTATCTAGTTTTCAAATTTAAACAAATACAAAGAGTTTAAAAAGATCATTTACTAATTTTACTTATAACCAATTTTTTTCAGTCTCTCTCATAATCAAACAAGACCTCATTTGTTAGCTCGTTATAGGCCTTGAGTTAGTCACGTGGAACAAATTTAGATGGAATGAATACTAAAAACCAATCAAGCAATGAGATAGGATGTCATACTTGAAATTGCCACTAGAGCGATTACCGATTGAGGCTGAATGGCAAATTGAGATTCGTATTCACGTGTTTAGCAGAGAGTAAATTCTTCTCTTTACTTTCTTAGAGGCAATTGTTAATAGGGGTAATTTTGAATGATTTTGGAGTAAAGAGAGGACTTAATTATCTATTTATAAACTCAAATATCCTACCCATTATAAGATAGCTGAGTTTGTAATTGCACAACACCAGCCCAATAAAGTGTATACAATAGCCTAAACAAATGGATCACTAAGTACAATTGTGATTAACATGCATGTCTTTTTAGGATCATATACAGCAACTCATTTTTTACAAAACAAACTATATAATTAACATTAATTCTCTTAGAAAATCTCAACAAGTAAAACTCGACTTGGTTGCTTTAGTGTTGAATGATAACCTAATCACTATCCATAGTTCAAGTCTAGACCGAAAATTAGCCTGGATTGACTATCAAAAAATCGGACCAAGTTGAACCGGATTGTCCAATCTCAGTTTGGTTTGGCCCTAAATTTGGCTTCTTTGTGATCTAGCTAAGGATTGTGATTTTTGGAATTGGAATTGTCACAGAACTAGGGAACTAGAACTGAGGTGAAGTACCAACCATAAGTGAATCATGCTTCTTTTTCTTTCTTGCAATTTTTTTGGCTATTTGATATGCATTCAATTCAATTCACTTATTAATTTGTAATTTTTTATAATAATTTATGTGATGTTTTTAAGTAATTTAATTTAATAAGAGTTATTAAGATCGTATGGCTTCATTTTTAGATTTTATTAGAAGTCCAAAAACTACAATCTTAATCTAGAAGACTACTCATAATATGACTCAAATTGATAAATGAAAATGGAAATCTTTATTGAATTTGATTTAAGATTAACAAAATGTACAAGGAATGAAATGTTTCTAATGTCACTAAAAATATTTTTTCTAAAATTTTTTGATTCTAACAAGGAATTATATAGGTTAATATGTGTATAAATTAGGATTTTTTGTGACATTAGTTATCATCTTTGTTTAAAATTAAAAGATTAAAAATATTTGGTTTAAAAAAAAATTATATAAAAATGAAATTAATTATAAGTTAAAATTAAAAACTTTTCAATTAAATTGGAATTGGACCGGAACTGGATTGAAACGAACTAGGCCAAGCTTGGAACCATGAAAGCTCAAAATAGGGAATTGGCTGGGAATTGTGAAGGCCCGAGATCAGGACCAAACTGACTTTTACGGTTCTAATTCTAATTCATAATTTTTAGAGATTGAAATTGACAGCTCAATTTCGGTTTAATCCAATTGGTTTGATTGGTGAATTGTGGACATGGCTACCTAGTGTACACATGCTAATTGCAGCTTTGGCTAAAGTCCCTTTTCGGAATAAATTCAACCACCCAGCAGGGTGGGTTGGATTGGGAAAAAACTCTGGAAAAAGCTAGCTCCCTTGGGGCATTTTTCTACCCTTTTCCCCTGTTAACTGAGACTGTTATTAATTGAGACCGTTAATAGGTTAGATTTTAATCCAAATTTGATTAAAATATTCAACGGATTAGGTTGGATTATAAATATTCGAAATCTAAAATAAGTGAATCGGATATGAAATTAAATAATCCTATATGTTAAAGATTTGAATCCAAATTTTAATAATAATTTTGTTATTGAGTTAATAATTTTTTATATATAATACTAATAAATTCAAAGTTGCAAGGGCTAAATTGAAAAAGTCAGAAAATATAGGAATCAATATAATTGATGAAATAAAATTGAAAGACTTAAATGTAGAATAATATTATTTTTCTTATTGGATCAAATTTTTTTTTTATAGGATTTCGGATATAATTTAACAAATACAAATTCTATAGTATTTTGGATCAGATTCGGATGTGGATATAGTTAATTGGATTCAGATTTGAATTCGAATTTAAATTTATCTAATTGGATCCAAATCGGATTCATTAACAGCCCTAATTTCAAAAAAATTATGGAAACTAAATTCTCCATTTTCTTCTCATTAAAAAAACTCAAGATCCAAACATGAGTGTCAAGACATTTACATGCCATGGTATCAAATTGACCTGGCATGGTTCTTGCTGGAGATTTTTTTCCAATAAATTAGGATTTGGTTTATTATTTATATTTTTATTATATTAATTTTTATTTATTTATTTGTGTTTCTAGGCCCCATTGGTTAAATAAAATGATTATTCCTCCTAAAAAAATCAATCAAAGAATTTCATTATATCTCTTCTAAAATCATTCTATTTCATATAGTTTTTCGTATTCTTTTTTCTTAAAACGAATTTACTATTAAAATTTATACTTTAATTGTTATTTTATAATTGTTTTGGGCAAAATATTAATAATTAAATAACACATTGTAGCAGGCCTTGCGCAACAAAAGTATTAGAGATGAACTATTGCACAATATATTATTTTTTAAAGTAGGTATGATATATTTCATTCATAACTTTTCTATCTAATAATCTAAAAAATAAGGATAAAATTGTCATCTACTAAAAACTTAATAATTATATTCCTAATTAAATACCAGCTTTAACAAAATTAAAAAAAGGTTAGGATTTAAAAAAGTTTATTTTTGCCTAAATTTATTTCTAATAAACCTATTTTAGAGAATGCTTCTATTAACCATACCAAACAACCCTAGGTTAAGGCGGTTTAAAATGGCCCGATTACCCAAATGAGATTGACAGACGACTGAGTTTATTCCCCAATTGCAACGTTCAACTCCTGTTCATAGAGCTACATCTCCGTCACCTTTCAGCCACTCTCCAGTGACTCCGCCACCAGTAAATCTTCCTCTCATCTTTCTTCTATTTTTATTGAATATATTAATCAAATGCCTGTACATAATATAATTGCATAAACATCTATTTGGATATTTTGATTGCACTCGTTTAGCCATGCGCTTCGGCATTGTCAATTTCCCCATGGAGCTTTTCTTCTCGTTCTTTAATTATTTGTTGCTTCTTCATCCACCGGAAAATATGCTGATTTATTCAACTTGTATATATACATGTATATATGGCATAGTTGAGCTAGTTAAGTCTTACTAAGTCATTTTCAAGCAAGCAAATTTATTTTTCCATTCCGGTTCATTTATTTGACTTGTCTCATATGCATGTGTATAAACTGATGATACTGATGCAATCTGAATTTCTGGATAAAATCCAATACAAGCCGTTTGCAAAGCTCACCATTTGTTCGACCTAATGCCAATTCAGAATGTATTTTTAACTTTATAATCTTTGTTCCTTTCATGGTTTTTGCCATGTCAACAGCGCCTTTTTCATGTGTTAAAAGTGTGATTTTCCATTTATGTTAAGTTAAATTTATATGTTTATCTTACGTTCCTCATTATATTGGAGTTGAATTGTGTTATATACCATGTGGCACCACATGTAGATTTGCATATGGCAGAGATGCTATATGGTCTAGTCGTGACGACCCAATCTACCTATAGTCATTAGTCACTTTCATAGCTCATTTGGTACACGGGAAAGTAAAGAAATGGATGAGTAGGGTGGAAATATGGCCACTGGGTGATGCTTCCTTAATGCTTGGTGAAGAAGGCAAGGTGTATATAAGAAAACGGAAGGCTTTTACTCAAATACATTAATTTTTTATTCAAAAAGGGGAAGGGAAGTTCTTTAGCCTTTGAACAGAATTAGTTTATTGCACTTCCATTACTAATTTTTCATCGGTTGGCCATTTATTCCATGATTTCACATGTTAGGAGAACAAGTGTACATGTGGAAAAGAAGCATGGATATTTATGCAGAAATTTCATGTCTGTCAACTGTTAGGTTCTTACAAGCACTTCGGCGTTTTTTATATTGGTCAGTGGTGCTGAAAGGGTAAGACTAGAGATAGAAATGTACTTTGGCTTTCATCTGGACCGTCTCTCTTCTCTCTGGTTCAGACAGCACTCTTGCGCTTGATTGTAATCTGAATTTATGGTGTCAATCTTTTATATCTATTTAATTTCATCAAAGTAGAGAACTAATTTTTTCTAGATTTCTAGTTCTTTACTCTTGATAAATGTGTAAGATTTGATATGTCAATTTTGGAAAGGAATTAATTGTTTGTCTTATTTCCTGTTTGTTTTTTGCAGGCAGCTCTTTTCTAATTGCAATCAAAAGTTTGATTGATGTTCCAGTAGAACATCTATTCAACAAATGCTTAATAATTACAGTAGGTAGGTTCTGTCTGGCCCCTTAAACTCCAGGAGTCATCATTTCATTAAGTAACAATACCATGAAGTTCATGGCTCTGGTTGGAACCATTCGTCATGGTCGTTCTCTTCCTAAAATTGTTGGACCATTACAATCTCGTTCATTCCAACCTGACTTTGTTCCTAGAGATCCCAAAGCAAAGCCCAAAAAGTACAAATACCCTGCCTTCTATGATCCATATGGGCCTAGACCACCACCTTCCGACAAAATCATTCAGCTTGCAGAACTTATTGCAGCCCTACCCACTGAAGAGCGTAACCAAATTGGTCCAACACTCAGGGAGAGACTCAGACATCCTAAGATGCAACCAATCTCAGTAGAAGGCATGGACTTGGGTTCACAGGGAGGGCCATCCTCGGGATCTGCAAAGGCTGAAGAGAAGAAGGCAGAGAAAACGGTATTTGATGTTAAGTTGGAAAAATTTGATGCAGCTGCTAAAATCAAGGTGATCAAAGAGGTCAGGGCTTTCACCAATCTGGGATTGAAAGAAGCCAAAGACTTGGTTGAGAAGGTGCCTGTTGTGCTCAAACAAGGAGTCACCAAAGAGGAGGCAAATGAAATAATAGAGAAGATAAAGGCTGCAGGTGGGGTTGCTGTTATGGATTGAATTAAATTCCGCACATGTTCTGTAGGTACTCATGGGAAGAACCTGAAAGGGGGTCTTGTGCCCATGAAAGCATGACCTGCAAGCTCAAGGGATGGCTGTTGTTGAATTCATGTTACTTCTTTGTGCTGAACTGAGAAATTTGCTTTTGAGCAGTATGCTTCTTTTGGCTCTGTTGAGAGTTATAGAATTACTAGTAGGTCGAGACATATCTCTTTTTGGATTGCTGTTTGGTTATAAATTTGATGGATGGCTAGTGGGTTGAATAAGAACACTGTTTTTAAATTCTGCCATCTGCAGATGAATTACTTTTGGAGAAGGTGGTGCCTGGTTCTCCTGATGACAGGAATATACGGTCAACGGCTATTTCTGGTACTGTTTGAACAAATACCATATGAAGCCTTTGTAGAATGGCAAAATTACATTATTATATTCTTTATTTTTGCCCAAATGAGTATTTTGTTTTGGATTATAAAACATATAAAGTTTGTTCTGAATTGTTTTGAGTTGCCAAATCAATAGGATGGCATCGTAGGTGGCAATTCTTAGTTGTCACACTCTACGCATGATATTGGTGTATCGGTGTTTTTACATATGACGGCTTCTTGTTATGCCTCTGCATACCGTGACATACCTGAAATTTTAATATGCTGTCATAAAATCTAAATGACTGATAAAACCATTGATTGTAGGACCTCTGTGACAGTCTTATGCGACAGTGAAACTAACTGCCAGTCACCATAAATGTTGTCACGGTAATGTCGAGAATAGGCTGTGAAATTAAAAGCATTGATTTGTCAACTTCAAATAATTCAGTAAATTGGAAGAAGGTAGAAATGCTAACAAACGTTGATTATTGAATTCACCCCACCTAATAGTACCTATTTGGGAAAGGTTAAGTGCCAAAGTCACTAAAAAATCGCCAATCTTAAGATTGACTATGTAATGCACTCGATCTGTTTAGTTAGGTGGGTGTATGGTGGATGATTTTAGTACTTGGAGTAAAATTGTAGTTCATGCAATAAAAAGAGAACAAAAGTATGTATTTTTTTTTTTTTTTTATTAAGAGGAAGTCAACCTTAATTTAATGCTCAAAAGCATCAACTTAAGAAAGACTTAACAAAAGTATGTAACTTGTTTATATAAGAGTAGTTTGCACTCATTTTTTCCCTTTTTTGAGTAATTTTTGTGAATATTTTTGATAAAAATTGTTTTACCTCTTTAAATTTGCTTCTCTATCTTATTTATTCTCTAAACTTTGTAATATATCATTTACCTCATTACTATTAACTCACCATTATATTTATTTTTCGTAAACTCTTCAATTTTAAATACTAAATGTTTTAGATATTATTATTAGAACATTTAATTGTTAAAATTTTAAAAATTTAAGTTGATATATTATAATTAATGAAAAATATTATTAAATATTTTAAATTTTAGAAATTAAATTAAAACATAGTTGATTTTACAAAATTAATTTAAGTTATTTGCTCAGCTTAATTAAATAAAAAATTACCAATTTTAAGGAAAAAAAAAGAAAAGAAAAAGGAAGTCAATTTGACCAGTTGGATTCGTGGTTGGAGACAACATCTGAGGCTTTGAGCCCATTGGCAAGGCTCATCGAGCCCACGTGTTAGCCCACTTGATGCAAACGTATAGGTTCTTTCTAAACTTGATGCGGTGCCTGCGTCCGTAGTACCAAAGCGCCAAGCATCTTGCATAAAAGAAAATATTCGAGTCCCTTTCCCATGAAAAAAGGTCACATGGAAAAGCAAAAGAACCTATAAATTTCTTATTTATTAAAGAAGAAAGTTGAATTTAAGTAATAAAACACATGCAAATTTTATTTAAAAAATAAAATTTTGAATTCTGACCCTCTGCTGCTTTTAAGTCTCTAACATATTAAAGGGGGAAAAAAATAAACTAATTAAGCTCTAGTCCATGTTTGGTTTACAGGGAAACGGTGACTTACTTGAATTCTTACATCCCTTTTCTTCATAAACCAAATGTAGTTAAGGTTTCACTTTTTAAAAGTTTATTTATCTTTTCACACGTAGATAAGTAAAAAATAAAAATAAAAATTTTGAAAAGAGGAAAAATTAAAAAAGCTGAATCTTTTTTTTTTTTTTGGCTTGCAGTAGCTGGGATTTTTGGATTTTTTATTTAAATATTATGAATAATTGGATTTTTGTTAATTTTTTTATTTTTATTTTTGCTAATATTTTTTGCTACTGGGATTCGTTAGCGAGAAGATATGCACAAATATTACCATTACCACAAGAATCGAGATCTTGATCCTCAATATGATATGGTGTCAGTGATTTCTTTTATGTCGATTTATAATTATGTTTACCACCATTTTTAAGTCCAACTTTAACATGACCTTTCTAAATCCCAAGTTTCAAACCAACTAGAACATTTTTCAAACACCCCAAGTTTCGGTCACTAAGGTTGACTACTCTCCAAGGCCCATAAAGAAACCCACATCCATTCTCTCTCTCGGTCTCTGAACAGCTCATTACAGCTAGCCTTCCTAAGGCTTGATTTGAATGATCCATCTATGTTCAATTTCATGTATCTCTCCTCTAAAGGATGAAAAAAATGTCATCTTACTCCTTTGTTGTATCTCTCCTCTAAAGGATGAAAAGAATGTCATCTTACTCCATTGTTGCGGAAGTGGTACAACCCATGATTTTATAATGTACCAACTAAAATTATTAATAAGTTAAATTTTAATTTGAATATGATATAAATTTAAATTTGATTAAAATATTTGATAAATTAAATATAATTAGAAATATATTTAATTTGAAATAAGTAGATTAAATATAAAATTAAATAATTTGATCCCTAAATATTTGAATTTAAATTTTAATAATAATTTTTTTATTAAATTAATAATTATATATAAAATATTAATAAATTTAAACTTGTAGGAAGTAAATTGGAAAAATCAAAAAATTGAAGAACTAATATAATTGATAGAATAGAGACGAGGGATTTAAATGTAAAAGAATATTATTTTCTTATTAAATCAGAATTTTTGTTGCATTTTAGATTATCTATTGGATTCGAATATGGTTTAATATATATAAATTTTATAAAATTTCGGATAAAATTTGCATACAAAATTGGGTAATTGAATTCGAATTTGAATTTATCTCATTTGATACAAATTTAACTTATTTATAATTCTAATACCAATTGTTTGCCACTTCATCTCATGTGATATTACTTTAATTTTTTCACTTTTTATATTTTGTTACAATTGGAGTTTAATATTACTTCTTATTAAATATATTAGAGATTTGATTGCAAAATATTTAAAGACAATGGGTATTGCATAAAAAAAATGGCGAAGGGTATCTTTACAATCCACTCATAATTCACCAAAATTGGAGACCATTTCCTCCTAATTTGCCGTCTAACTTCCAAATTCTTAAAATAATTTCTTGAAATTATTATACCATAATTAGTTTAATAATAAATTCCCTCCCCATGAGACAAACAATTTAACATAAACACAATTTATGTAAATGAATAAATTATTAAAATTGTCCAACCACTTCTTCAATAAAGTTCAACACCCCCGGTGTTGGATCATCGTGTAATAAATAAGATTAAAATTACAGTGGTTCTCCATTTCAATCATTTTAAATTTGTTTTCGTTTATTTTCTTTTTCTTTTTTGGGTAAGGGAAAATTTTGCAAATGATAAGCTTGATAAAGATGGATAAAGATAAATCATCAATTCTTATCTATCTTATACAATGTTCAGTAGGCAGACTAAAATTGAATGAAAAGTTTAATAAGATAATTACCTAATTAAATCGAGATAAATTATATGAAGGTGAATGAAATGATTTATTTAACTTTTTATCTAGTTTTTCTAGACAATATTATTCTACTATTTATAAGTTAAATTATTAAAATATGCTCTCATTTTATTTGATAATATTGTACTCTGTTTGCTAGCCAACTCCACCACCACTATCTTACCACTGTTTATCTATAATTTGCTGCCACCCACCAACACCATTTGTCATTGTCCATTACTTCTAGTGTCACAACCCATTTCAGGATTGTGACCAGCGCTAAGAACAAACTAACCATCCCTTGCAAGCCTAATGTAGAAATAACCAACAGGTGAAGATTTCTACAATTTTTGACTAAATCTCCCTAAAAATTAGATATTTTCCAAAAATTTTAAGGCCAGTAAACAAATATTATAATTCATAACAACAAACCCCAAGCAGTTCATATATGATATACAATCTTTATTATGTTTCATCAGACACTTCAATACAAAAATATTAAATAGATATAAAAGTCGTACCCATGGGCAAGAGAGCATTCGAATATACATAGAGTCCAAAAATATATCAAAGCATAACTACAAACAGCAAAAAGATTCCACCCACACCCACATGCGAGTGTAAGACTTACCAAAAGAAGTAACTTTATCATCAAGCTGGTGGACCAATACTAGGATTGACATTGAAATCAAGGGAGAAATTTAAAATAAAGGTGAGATAGTAGCTTAGCAAGAATTATATATATATATATATGTTTATATATAGCTATGTTGAAAGGAAAACAAGCATGTATCATAATCATTTGTTTGAACATTCAAAACCCTTAAGTAGTAAACCCAAATCCACTTCCAATTTCAAAGTTTTAAATAAGAACAAGTAGTAAACATTTAGAAATGATTTTTTTACTTAACAGAATGGGAAGTACTAATCCAAAACCAGAATATCGAAATATCAAAATCATATAGTGGTTATAATCCGAACAGAATCAAATCCCACTAAAGATAATATAACATATCTGAACCTGTAGGCCAAACACATAAGGCTAGCAACACTTTACTAGCTGAGGTCCATATCAAGATGCACAAAGGCTAGGGTTTATTGCTGTTAGTTATAATATTTTATTAAAGTACCCTCTTTTAAAAAAAACTTTTTGTTCATGTTTCGAAATTTAGATCATATTCCATAG